GTCAGGACCTGCGTTGATGGATGTAAAGCAATTGTCTTAACGGTTGTTACGGCGTTAACTCAGTGGGTGTAGTTTGACGGAATTGGCCTTGCGGCTTCTGAGAAGGCGAGGGGTATCATAGGTAATAGTCCCTAAACTTTGTCTCACCTTTTTTTTTAATTTTATTTTATTTTAGTTTTGGGTTTTTTAAATTCAACTAAATAGTAATTTAGTAAATGCACTCTCAAATGTTGGATATATTAATTTTTTTTACTTGTATTATATGTGTTTTTGAAATTTTTAATTTAATTTATTGTTGTAAAATGCAACCTACGGTTGACTATTTTTTAACTATTCGATTTTCTACAAAAAATGACACGTGTATGATCAATATGTGGTCGAGCGTCCGATCATTTCGCTGTATTCGATTTTTGTGATTTGTCACTAACTACAGCAGTTCAATCAACGTTTTAATGTTGTGGTATTGTGAACTGCAACTACGCTACTTCAATTTATTATGTAAGTTCACTAATGTTGTCAATTGTCACTAAACTGTTTAAATTCAATTTGCGTGTTCAATATTGTGAATTGTCACTAAGTTATATTTTTTTGGTAGCCAGTCACGGTATTCGGAGTTATACCCCGACTAATCTGTTGGTCGACTCGAGTCGCACACTGACAGTGGTGGGTGAGTCTCCCAACAAAGATTTTACACCTGACAGTGGTGGATGAGTCTCCCGACAAAGGTTTTCTGCATCCACAAGAACTCGAACCCGAGACCTTGCTTAAGCGACATCAAACTGCTTACCACTTGAGTCAACTTATGTTGTTGTCACTAAGTTACTTTAGTTCACTCTACAATTAGCATAAGCAACATTTATCATTGAAAACGAATAATTTAAATTTTATTTGGACTAATAAAAATTAAGTAGTAAAATCAGGAAATACATAATCCTTAGAAAAAATGCTTTGAACTTTTCCATTCTAACTTTAATTCTATATGGAATTTAAGTTTATATTATAACTTTAATTATGGCCATTGATGCCCCTGATTTTTTTTGTGTAATTTTATGACATTTCGTAGAGTTTTGTATCGATCTCTAGTGTTTATAGTAGCTGATTAAACTATTATACTTGTAAAATAATTGACTAACTTAAATTATATATATTTTTTTTTAAAATTTGATAACTTTTATGTTTGTTATCAAAATTTCACATATGAAATATTAAATTAACCTCCTTCGATTTGACATTCATATTGTGTATATAAAAAATATATATTTTCATGAGTAAAAATATAATACAATACAAAATATTAAAAAAATAACAGTATATTTAAAAAAGCGATAATGTATTTCCTTGGTTCTTCGTATATGTGAGGGATGTTATTTTAAATAAAAATAACAATATTTTTTAAAAAATAAAATACGATACCAAAACAAAACTTCTTTTATA